CTTAGAGGGTGTTTCAGTGGAACACATTTTCAGTTCTTTTTTGGTTATATTATGAGGTTGTGACTTCCCTTCTTTCATGGTGAAGAAAGCTATTACCCAATCTATACAGAGAAGAAAATATTTGGAAGAATTCTACTAAGAATGTGTTTTTATGTATGTGTGTAGTACAGAAAAAGACAACAATAGCTTGCAACAACTATTGTCAAATCAGTCTATTTAATATATTCTATCCCTTGATGTCTACTGTTTATCTGGGTATGTATTTCACAGTAGTGTGGGAAAAGTGCAAAATTTTAGATTGACATGATTCCATGTTATCCAGTTTGCTAAAGAGACCTATATAATAACATTATTACAGAAGGATGCAATTAAAAAATAATCCAAGAGAAGGCCTCACTAGATAATGTCCCCCTTGGGCGATTTGTCAGATAAAGTTAGACTAAATCACAAGTAAGGCTGTGCAAACATGCAAAAAGGTGTTTTGAAACTGATATTTGTTTCCTTTCAAAAGCTGTTCCTGGCTATGTGCATATGTATTTTCATGGATAGTTGTTTTGTTGACAATTCTAATGGAAACATTTGTGCACGCATGCACAGAAAATCTAAGATTACCTTCAAAATAATCTTATGAACATTCCAGAGGAGCTGGGTGCTTTAATGCTTCAAGGAAAATAGGTGCTTTGTTTAGCTAATGTACTTTGTGAAGCACCTCATTCACTTCTTTTGCACAACTATAATAATCGGATCAATCTTGAATTTTTGCCATAAACTCTATTTTAGACTATGAGAACTTATTGAATTATATTTGCTGTAATTGTGTTAAATCATTTGCTGAAATGAATGAAATACACAGTAGTATTTTAATGTACCATATGTCTCATATTATTTTCTTTTCATGAACAGCTGTAGTCCAGTCTTTTTTTTTTTGCAGCATTTTTTTCCTGCACATTTCCTATTATTTACAGAAAAAGGATAGAGATATATATTATTTTTATCTTGCTATTTTTAGGGAATTCAGGGTGATATATCTGACTCCTTTTTTTCTCCCTTTCCAATCTCATTTTTTCTAAAATAGATTCAGTTGAGAATGAATTATCCAAATTCACTTAGTGAAATTAACAATTGAAAGAAAATTTACATTTAAAAAAATTAAATTTGTGAGTGCCAACTAAAAGAGAATCAGGAATATCATAACAATATATTTTTAGGGATGTCATCTCTAGCATCGTTTGACCAAAACAAGGAAGGTGTCAGGAGGGGCATTCCTTGAGGAGATCAAAACACTTTGATTAGAATATAATGTGTAGATATTTTCATTGACATAATTTGACAGACTGCCTGCTACAGTTTTTAAGATGTTTATTCATTTTTCTATGTTTATCAATATTGCTCTTATATGTCTGTTTTCCTTCAAAAGGAGGAGTTAAAACAGCCTACAAAGGGAAAAAGGAGTTTTCCCCTTCTACATGACATTATGCTTCATGGAGAAATAATTGTAGGGGAAATAACTCTTCATTCAGACCATAAATGTTTTTGTTGGTTTCATTGTGAAAATACTGGATTAGCAGAATCTGCTGGAACACACTAAAAACAAAAGTCAGAACTTGTCTCACTAGTCCTAGAGCTCAGGGACTATTTATGCATTAGCTGTCTTTTTCTTAGAAAAGAAAGAGAATAGTTGAAAACTAATTCTTCATTTTCATAGACATGCTTGAAGAATATGGGGTAACATTTTTGCACCCAGGATATTTTTCTCCTGTTCAGTATACTTATTAATTTAGGTATGAGAATTTTATTCTGTATTTCCTTTCAAGGAATCCAGGGCTTCCCACAACAAACATCTTATCTTCACAACAACCCTATGAGGAAAGTTAGACAGAGAGCTTGCTGGACAAAGAAAGCATTCCAAGTAATCCAATAAACTTCATTTTTAAATTATGTTTTTGAATGAGCATAATTAAATCTTACAAAACACAATTTATTGGAATAAAAATTATAAATATACATCTTAAAAAGGGGAACACTACTTTTTTTTTTACATACAAACTTGAGAATTGGCTGAACAGTTCAAATGTTTAGAAAGAATATTTTTACAATCTGAAGATTGCATACAACAAAATTAATCCTGTATAGTAATGTAAAATGTAGTAATGGGAGGACAAGTCTCAATCATGTTAGTTTTATTGTTTCATTCTTCCAAATTAATCCCTAGAGCATGAGTGTCAAACTCGCAATGTCACGTGATGTGTCGCGACTTTTTGCATTGCCAGTAATGGTGTGGGCGCGGCTTCGGTATGATGAAACTGGCCTGCGGGCCAGCAGTTTGGCACCCCTGCTCTAGAGCATTCTCTAAAATGTATAATATTTGTGGGGGGAAATCTATTAATACCCACATTTTGAATTTGTGGTTCAAAATATCTAAGTATCTTTAAATTGAGATATTTACCTCATTTCAAATGTCAGATGGTTAGTATCACTTTTATATTGCTTTCAGTTTCAGTTAAAAATTGATAGATACATACAGTATATAAGATCCACAAATCTTAATAAAGATAGAATTTGGAAAATTAATCAGAATCAAACATGCTAAATCAGAAATACATTGCCCCAGTAAGACATGTAATCAAACTCAAAATAAATTATATCACATGTTTTACAACGTATATAAATAGGGATATTATATAAAATAATTTAAAAGCAGAGAGGACCTATGAAAAGCTACAAAGAACCAACCTTGGATGGAACCATTGGAGGAGCTGCACCAGGGTCTGTCAAAAGCTGGGAAGTATGGAAATCGTTGAATAGATTGCACATGAATAAAACAAAATCTAGAGATATTCTGAACAAACGAGGCTATCTGGTGGCCTCTGCCCTTTGCGATTGTGGGGACATGCAGACATACAGACAACACACATATGTACATTTGTCCTTTGTGTCCTGATCAGTGTACATTTGAGGACCTCATGGCAGCGTGACAATGCAATTAATTAGTTTGGGACAAGATGTTTAAGGTACATATTTTAATCTTGTATTTTATATTTTAAATTTTATGTCATATAGTATGCCTTATTTTAATTGTGATGCTTCTGACACAAACAATAGCGATAATTTAACTCAATTTAATTCCCCTTCACCTCACTTCTAAAAAAATTATGAACCATTCCAATGATTGGATATTTGAAGCTAGGTTTCCCTGATTCTAGTCCATCTTTAATGTTTTCCCTTCACATTGAAATGCTTAAGAGATAGAAAGCTGATACTTTTTGATGTTGCAAAAAAACGATTCAAGCGATGGACATTCACAAAGTCTTACAGGTCACATTTGTCTTCCATAACAGTAAAAAAATCCTGATATTTTAAAAAAATGTTCCTATGTCGTGCAAAATTGTGCATCTGAGGCATCATCACTTCAGTGCATTTTTGTGCTGTGGCAATATCAGAAACAGTTCTATAATCATGCTAATTTATGTAAGTAGATGGACGTAATCTACGACTGTTGCTGCCAAGTAAAATTGAAATATACATAAGGAACTGTAGCACAAATGTTCGTTTTTGTCATTTTTCTGCAATATAGTGGCAGAAACGACTTGTTTTCTGGAGATGTAATTGGATTCTTTCGGGTAGATCCTATATAAGCAATATGAATATTCATAAGAATCGGACTTTTACCCAAGTAGGAACTCTACAAATAACAGGCGTGATACGCCCTTAACTACTCTCGGGGAAGATAATCGAGCACTCCACCTGTTCACATTTCTGATTTGGCCCCGCCGGGTCTTCATTCATAACCTTTTACAACTACTTCAAGGTATTTCTATCCGTCCTTTGGTTGCTCCACGGAACATTATTTTTCCGTTTCCAGCTTCCGTTTCGGTAGGAAAGCGTTTACACGAACACCTTCCTCTTTCGTTTTCTCTACTTGCCCAAGCAGCGAAAGCTCCGAGAGATGCTGAATATGAAATTAGCAATCCGCTATTGGCGCGTGAGTACGCTTCGTATTATCAGTTTGTCCACCGAAAAATAATTTGTGAACAAAAACGCGAATTACTGTATT